TGGGTTAATGTGGAAGAAAACTACACCGACATAGAAATAAACATGGGTTTAGACAGAAATAAACATGGTTGAATTACAGAGAATCAAGAAATAGAGAAAAACGAAGAATTACAAAGTACCTTGGATACTCGTGCAGCGAGAATAAGAGCCCTAATGTTGATCTTCATCTGTACGAACCCTAGTGACGGTATTATTCGGAGGTTTGATTCGATGAAAAGTTGTGCAGTAATCTAGCATATGAAGACTGAAGTTGTGTAGCTGCGGGAGATGTGAGAAAAGTTAGCCTGGAAATGTGGTTAGAGTGCGGAGAAGATGGAAAGCATAGGCGCGTGGAATTGTGTTCGTTCTTGAGAAAAAAAAACGCTTCAAAATGATAGAGCCACGTGGCAGCAGAAGGTGAAAGGAGAAAAACGTGGGAAGAGCAACACATAGGATTTTTTGAGGGTAAAATTGTCATTTAAGGAGCTATCTCTTTTCTTGTATATAAATAGAATAGATACTTATGAAGGAGGTGTAACTCAAACATTAAGTTTTAAACCGGACACTTATCACAGAATACAAGATGAAAAAGAAGAACTAACTATAAAGAATTTTTTTAAAACAAAATGGTTTGAAAGAAATAAAGAAATCAGATATATAGCACAAAAACATGGCAATATAATTGACATAACTACGATAAATGGAAAAGCAAAAATATCATTAATAACAGATGAAATAATAAAAAGGGAATTATCAAAATTACCAACAAAAGAATCAAAGAAACTAAAAAATATATATTTTGGAGGAATAGAATTTACTATAAAAGCATATTTTCAGAAAAATATAGACACACCTATACAAATTTATGTTGTAGATGATAGAATATTAGGAAATTTACAAGACGCTCTTATTTCGGTTATAAAAGGAAATTTGATTTATCAAAAACTAAAATTTACAGTACAACCAGATTTTAGCATATCACTAGCAGATAAACATAAAGAATTAGCATTGACGTTATATTACAAATTAGATGGAATAACAATGCCACCAGGAAGTAAAGTGATAAGTATAGAAACAAAAATAGTACAATGTATGCTTTAACAGGAAATCATCATATTAAAAAACAGAATAAAATTAATATATTAATACCAAATTTGTATCAAGAAATATTAGAACAAATAGAACACAGAGATAATTCTAGAATAACAATACAAGATGAAATATGTATGGATTTTGAAAATAGACAAATAAGACCATCAACAAAAATAATACCACATATAGAAGGATCAAGAATAAGTTTTAAAAAGGAAATAACAAGGTTATATTCAAATAATAGACAACCAAGAAAATTGGACTTGATAAATACACCATGTAGTGAATTTGAAAAACTTAAGATCAAAACTATACTACCTCCGTCCCAAAAAACTTTGTCATTTTCAAAACTTTGACCGGCTATATCTTTTTATTGAAAATGATTTAAAATATAAAAGTTATATGAAAATGTTATTTGTTATAAGTACTTTCATAAAAGTATAAAAAAAAATTCTTCAAAAAAAAGTATAAAATTTATAACTTACATAATATTATACTAATCAAAATTAAGGTTCAAATTTTTGGAAATGACAAAATTTTTTGGGACGGAGGTAGTAATATTTAATGGAACAATAACAACGGAATGTATAACTGACATAAATATCGGTGCAACAAAGAGCTTAGTTCATATTAGTAAAATAAAAGAAAAGGATTGTAGTATAATAGAACAACCACAAATATATAGCTATCCTAATAATACAAGGGAAATAATAATTACAAAATGTACAAAATTAAGATTTAAGATTCAAGACTTGGAATACAAAATAACAATAGGAGTAGTTGAATATGATAGTTCTTACGAGTTACTTTTAGGAAGTGATTTTTTAAGCATGATAAAATTAACAAATGAAGGAATTGAAATTGAAGATCAAAACAAAATCAGGTTTATAAATAAGCTATGAATATTCAAGACAAAATAAGAAAGAAAGAAGAAAAATTAGGAAAATTAACAGAAACTCTGGTATCATGTCAATTAAAATTTGAAAAAGAAATAGAGGAATATAAAAGATTAGAAAATGAAATAACAAATTTGAAGACTATAGTAAATGAACCTAAAAGGAATGGATAACTCTTGAAGAAGAATGGAGAAAAAGAATAATTAAAACAGAGTAATTTTAACTTCCCCTTTATGTTGATTCAATGACAACTTTGGTCATGAAGTGAACTACTGTCGCAAATTCCAACATTTTTTCCATTATAATAGTCGGTGGCACACACTATTCTCATGACCTAAACTCCTTTTGTTAGGCTAGATAGAATCATGTAATTAAGATAAGATGTAGGTCATGTAGGAAAAGTATTTAGTCTTCCTTCATTAATGATAAAGTCATTATTGCTTTGACTCAAAGACTAATAAATAAGAAACAAAAAACGAATTACCCAACAAAGTATAAAGTTATATAAGACCGATTATTTCAGAATACAATTATGCCCGCATATTCAATATCTACTTCCTTACAACTAAATGCCCATTTGTATGGAATGAAATAATTACATCATGCTGGGTTCGAACTCGTTTGATTTAATAAAATGAGATGGCCCGATCTATAGGGATGGCTTGATTCATAGGGTTGGATTCAATTTTATTTTTCAAAATCTGAAATCACAATTTAGTTGGTTCGGTTATGGTGTTTTTTATTTTTTCCAAAAAACCATTGTTAGAATAAAAATAGACATAGCAATCTCAAACGATAAATAAAAAAGCAAAAATTAATAGCAACATGATGCAAAAAAATAATTAATGGAGACATACAATAATTAACAGCAACACAATACAAAAAAAATTAAATATAAAACAAAAGAAACCAATATGCTCGTAACTAAATATTAGAGAACACATAAGTGCAAACACTCGACTCTCAAGATACGCGCATGTGCTCAACCGCCGCATATGTGCATGTGCATGCAAATCCAACCATGTCTTCTTCAATCGAGAGGGTACAGAATATTATTATCATGGAAAAAATGTTGGAATTTGCGACAGTAGTTCACTTCATGGCCAAAGTTGTCATTGAATCAACAAAAAAGGGAAGTCAAACCATTTTTGGATTGGGAGAGGTGATTATTGTCTCGTCCGTGACAAGTTGCAATGCCTTGTCTATCTAGATTGTAGTTCAACCAAGTGTGTGTCATTCATGGTTGGGAGTGATCCTGAATTCGTGGTGGTTGCTTCTTGGAGTCAATTCTCATGTTCTCAGAGAATTGTTTATAGTTTATGTCGTGGTAGTGGGTGAGACGAACCCTTGGTGTGAGTTTGCAATATTTAGGTCCAAGCCCATTCACGATGTTAACAACAGGATCCTCGGATAGGGGACTATGACCAATTTGAGTGCTAATGCATCAGATAAAACACTTCTTTTAGCCAGTTATTGTGTGATAGTCTGTTTGCCTTTGATAAATTGGTAGTCCTCAGAAGTGTAGTTTTGAATGAGATGATGCGTCTACGGGGTGTGGCATAGGCAAGACTCAATTTATCCCACGACAGGCGTGCGGTTGATGCAGGTGTATGGCATTGAATTTGAATATCTACCAAGTAAGGCATTGAGAATGGTTTTGACTTGGTGGTACTAGATAGTATAACATGGATTCGTTTCAGATTTCCCAGCATCCGTAAATTGGTTTGGTGTTATGATATTATCATCAATGTATCCTTTAAGTCCAAGTCCAACAAAATTGATATGACATTGGAATTTCCAAATAGGGAAATTAGACGCCGTTAACTTGATTGGAAAGTTTGCAAGAGCAGTAAGTTAGATGATCGGGGTATCAATGGCGATGGCCATGGAAAAAGTAAACTCGTGAAAGTATGGTTGTTGATATCATGTTAAGGTTGAATTATATTTATCATAACTAATGATACAATGCACACTTGGGTATAGATACACATGAGTGGATAGAGCCGCTCGTAACTATCTAGCTAATATAATGGGTGTGGCTACAAAGTAGGAGTTTAATGTACATCAAGTAATCTACACTACAATTGAGTAACAATTTTTTGTTGAAAGGAAACACTCCACACTTAATTAATTCAATGCATCATTTTCCCATTCGTTGGCTAAAAGGCCTACTATAAAATTTGGCTTAAGATAAAAACTACTATCAAAATATGCGCTAGAAACGACCGCCCTTGCTAATGCATTGATAACACGATTCGCTTATCTTCTACACACTGAGCTCCAAACCCTTCAACTCACGAAGCAAAATGCTTATATATACCAGAATCAAGTCGACATAAGTAGTGCCCTGATCTTGTTAAGAGCACACCTTATTGCCTCCTTCACCCCCAACTTCATGTTCACGAGGTGGCCATTCTGTTTTTACATGTTTTCACCAAGCTTTGTAAAATCGGCCAGAACCATCTCTAGCAATTAACCTCATGCTTCTCTATAAGAAACCATGCAAGAAATGTGATTTAGTCGTTTCTTATGTTTTCATGATATTTTTGTGGGTGGAAGCGATAAAGCTTGTGTGACCGTTAAAAGCTTTGAAACTTTCACATGCTTAGCGAATAGTCTCGTTCTATTTAGGATGGTCTATCCTAAATAGTGAGAGGTCCATTTGGCTATGATGAGCCTCTTAGAGAGGTTTGGGATTGTGTTGTTGTGGGACCTTTCCTAACGTTGATTATTTTAATATTGAACCATGGTTCAATAGGATGAACCGATGAATTCGTTTTTTGAAAAGTTTAAGGACCAAAAACGCCATTTTTACAATAATCAGGCTGGTTTACAATTGCTTAAAAAAGCACTTCTAAAGACTATAATTCGAAAAACACATATTGAAGTACAAAAATGTTAAACAAAACAGCTGGATTGACTTGAGGAATAATGTAAAGAAGCCTTCAATTGTGACAAAAGGCGTGATACGAATTTCTTTTGGGAACAAAAATAACACGACAAATGGTAAAACAAGATAAATGAGAAATGATAGCGGAATGCGAGTGAACTTATATCACGCATAATGAATGGAGATATTTATTTCATAATAACTTCAAAAGTAAGAAGATAAACTCATCCACTGAACCCCTACAGGCTACAGTATAGTCAGCTAGCCAGATTGTCAAAAATAGCATTGGTCATTTTCCAGCCAATATAAATGCACTGACAAAATTGAAAGCCAAACCCATGGGCCATGGTGCTTTAGGGAATGGAATCCTCCAGATTTTTGCACTAATCACATACTGAATATGGTAAATTTGTAAAATAACTCAAAACGAAGTATATGAGATGCTGCTAACGAAGTTATACTATTCTGCTTGCCCAGTCTCCAGGTGTGGGTTTCTTAAGGCAGCCAAACACCTCTTCACTTTTCTTCAACTCCAATTCCCTTAGATTAAAGGTGTTGAAGGCATTCCCTTCCGTTCACAACACAGAATGATCTGAAGATGTAAGGTTCATTTGGATTTGTTACTTTCAAGTTTTCCAAACCCGGATTGTCCCATCCACAGATGAAGTTATCATGCAACTCCCTTTTGGGTGATAACTTACACTGGTTACCTGAATTTAAATAAAAAAGACCCAAGGACATCAATCCAATTAATAGTAGAGAAAAATGATAAAACATGAGTCTATGCAAATGGAACTATCAGTAGAAAAATTTAAAACTGGAACTTGATTCAATATTAGATTAGGAACACAGAGCAAACACTGAATTATTGAGCATAAGAACAACATTGGCAAGGGGTCATTAATTATAAATACTACTAGCAAATATTTATCACAAAAATAATGTTGAAACAGAGCATAAGAGTAAGCAATGAATCTTCAAAAAACTGTTGGCAAATGCATTAAAAGAACAAGTGACCATTATTTCATGAGTATCATAACTATGAATCTACATTACAGTCGTATAAATGGAATTCTAAATTGTTACATGCTATACATACTCCAATATACCATCACAATCACACATTCTTACTCGACAACAGTCGAGGTGAAGTAGGGTTGTAACAAGCCGAGCCCGAACATCCAAAGCTTGAGTTGCGCTCAGTTCGCTAATAGTGTTGTTCCGGTTCGAACTCGAAGCTCAACATGCATTACATATGGGGTTCGAGTTCAGCTTTAGAGATGTTCTATGTTTGATAAGCTCGATAAATATGCTCCTGATGTAAAAGTTTAGCTTATGCTAGTCAGTATGATTATTTAACATGTACTCGATTTTTTAATAATCATTGTTTATAAAACCACACTAACGATGTTTAAATTTTAACATATACAAGTATATAATTCGTCCCTGTAATTTTCTGGTGTTTCAATAGGATCAAGTTCAAACAGTATCGAGCACTACTATGCTCGAGCTCGGCTTGAATAAATGTTCCAACTTAAAACCTGGCACATGTTTGAGTTCAAAGCTCGTTAAGCTCATCTCGTCAGGTTCGGAATCGAGCACGAGCTTGAACGGTTTAAATAAAGCTCAGATCATTAACAGCCCCAAGGTGCAACAGTGGTAAAACATTTCCTGACCCAATTGCAGGACTGCATGCATGATACTTACATTTGTGTAAGTAGAGTAACATGAGGGAGAGAGGGACAGTAACACATGTTCAAATGTTTGATAAAATTACCACAGAAGAATGAGCTTTGAAACTGGATGTTACAGATGCATCAACCAGATCCCAGGAATAAACGAAACCATCTTCCGAGCCACCGATCACATGTGCATCGGTGTTTGTGAGACAGCAATCAGTTTTTGAAGTCTATGAAACAACAAATCTAAGTTAGAGTCTATGGATTAGCTCGAGAACAAAGGAAGAATGCATTTTTACTCATTAACTGAATAACTAATCATTTTACTACTCAATTGTGTCTTAAAAGTTTGAAAAAAATGTTATTAATTTGGGTTCATAAATAGGAAAACCATGAATAAAAAGTTAGGCCTGCAATGCTTGACTTAGAACCTTGCAAGTATGTCCCTTGTATTCTTGCAACAGTTCACCAGTAGACCTGTTAGAGCAAAGCAAAAAATCATATATTGTTTCATGAATGTATGGAAGTCTTCAAGAGCCAAGGCTGCAGAAACCTACCTATCCACAAGTCGAAGGGTTGAGTCAAGACAGCTAGCTAATATACAATTCCCATCGTTAGACAGAGAGATACAGTTCACTGGTTGCCCCAAGTTATCAGATAATTCCCTGGTGAATAACACATGGTACAGTTTCTCTTCTCAATATCTTGCAAGTATTAAACTATTAAAATCTTCATTAAAAATAAAATAGGACCCCATTATTTGCAGTAATGCGACTTACCTACCCATTCGAATGTCAAATGTTCTAACAGTGCCATCAACGCTTCCAGCAATTATTTCAGTTTTTGTCAAACAAACTGACATGACACTGTCTAAAAATGTGCCAATGATCTGCATGTTGATGGAAAAGATTATTGACGAGCAAGGCTTGATATGAGAATGAAAAACATCAATCATGAACTGATTTGACCCCAAATGATTACTCTTGACCATTTAAATGCAAAAGATTATGGCCTGAACAACAAACCAATAGTGGGGTATAAGAGAGGAAACAATCAGCATTTTCCAATGATAACCATCCAGCAGACATAGTCACACTACCACATAGATAGCTCACTTTATACATAAACTATATGGAGATTTGTGTTTCATTGTTTCTATGTATACATAGGGAATAAGTCTTCCATGTGGCATGCATTTGTAGGTTAACTCACAATGTCCACAAGTATGTTGTGATGACGCGATGTAAATGTAAGTGGCTCAAAAATGCATGCCACGTGCCAGAACTAGTGTCTGTACTCTAACCCAAGGCCCAAGGTATAAAAGTATCCATATGTTAGACTGTAGTGTGACCCACAAACATATAAGTCTCCATAAATTTGACCCAATTTAAAGCCTACACTATAATATGACAAAACCAAACAAATTTCTAACTGCTTGGGTCATTGAACATTACACAAAGACACATAACGCTAGCAAAGTATCATGATGTTATTCACAAAGGCTGGAAAAATAGAGTTTCAATGTCTCATTGCATGCAGTGTAACTGTGTAAGGGGAAGTTACAAGCCTGAATCGGTTCAGTGCTGTGAGATTTGCAGTCCCAAACGCGCAAGGATTTATCATATCCAGCAGATACAACCACAGAAGCATACTCATTAAACTTCACAGCGTTCACCTGGAAATGGCGCAATAAAAGAAAAGTATGAAGTAACAAAAAAGATGCTATTGTTTATCTCAGCTACTATATATCCATATACAATTAGAAACAGAAAGCAAAACCATAGAAACACTTCATGCACAACCTGATACCCAGAACACTGCTAAGAGCATGTACTGCATGTGAAGTTGTAAACTTATAGGTATATAAAGAGACATAAACATAAGTTGGAACTCATACAAACAGGAATATCTTATCATCTCATATGTTGTTCAAATGTACTCAAAATGATTATCTTACATCAATTTTCCCACCTCAACTCGATTTGAGAGGATATGGTACGATTTCCGGTACCTAAGCATTTCTATGTTTCTAAGATATAGGATCACATGCTTTGAGCACATTTTACCAGCATCTTAAATACATCTACTCACATACATCTTTCTGAAGGCTACAATGACATGCTGCCATCATGATAAAGCCACCATTATGATACACATTGGCATAGCGGCATGCTTACAAAAATCAATCAAAAGGATTTTGAAATATCATATACTATCATGTTTGAATTCAACCAAAGACATCTTTTACCTCACTGTCATGGCCCCTAAATTTTCTAATTACACGACCAGATGCGACATCCCAGTAAAAGATTTGTCTATCTCCACCACAAGAACATAGCTTGGAATTATCCCTGCATTTTAGAAAACAGTCGAGTTCACATGCATGAAAATGTTGCAGGTAGATTAATATGAAAACCTCTGCTATATCACAGATGCTACATTTTCATCAGAATTGTAGTATTCAAGGACGCTACATTAAATAAGCTACGCTTCAGCTCAAAATACTTCTGTTTTGGCGTTTACTAATTATAAATTATAGACAAGCATAATTTTGTTTGTTTGTGATGATGCTTAATAATCACATTCGATCACTGGTCAACTACAAAAAATTATTCTTGCTTCAAGGGAAGGTGTGGGTAATTATGTACAAGAAAGAGTGAAATAACGAGTAAAATGGGATAAGTACGGAGAAACGTGGACGTCTCGGACTTCACGGCCGTGAGATTTGTAGGTCTTGATGTGAATTCCACGATGCGGATTCCATAGTCTGATGGTTCGATCCCTCCCGCAGCTCAAGCAGTAATCACCGTTGCTATTGAACCTGGCGGCCAAAACCGCCCCTTCGTGTCCTCTCAGCACGCATGCTTCCCTGTTCGGCAGTTCCGCCGCGCTCATCGTCTTTCCCGCTGCGAATGGGCTGAAGCCGGACGGTGGAGCAGCGAAGTAGTTAAGCCCAAAGTACTACCTTTTCGGGCCACATTGTCAATTTTGGCAGTTACCTGGGTTGGATTTCGGCTGCAATCAGGGCTTTTCCAACGACACAAATAGTTCAGCCTTTTCCAAATCCCCATCATCAATTAATGTTGTTTTTTGGGAATTTATCACAAATAGACTGTGAAATTAATATTACTTTTGTCATGTTTTATTTTTCTTTTCAAAAATAGACTGAATACGGATTTCTTTTCACTAACAAACCTTCGGTCTTGGCTTCGCACCGCTTCACCCTTCAGGGCTTCAGGGAGACGAGTACTCCTCCCTACCAAGTACTAACACTAATCCATGTTAATTTGGGGAAACAAAACATAGAAATTCCAATCATGCACAAACTTTACACGTAGCACATTATGATGGCACTTTCAAATTAAATAAAAAATAAAAAGTCAGACAATACGTCAATTGCAATGCAGATATTTAATAATATAAAAATGTCAAAAACATAAATATCTAAAGCACGTTTATAAATTTTGGGAAACACGAGTCTAATAAAAATTGTAAAAAGGTATTCAAAATTACATAAGTGTAAAAATTATGAAAGTTGATGATGTAAATGTTTATTGAAGTTCTAAAATATGTAAACTAAAATAAAAAATATAAAAACGAAAAAAAGAACAAGAAACCTTATACGCTAAAAATCTAAAAACTAAAATTATAAATAAATATATAAAATAAGATAAAAATGATTTGAAACTATAAAAAAATGAGAAATTTTTTAACCTGATAATAAAAGAGTAAAATTTAATAAAACACACAATCAATAAAATATAAAACTAAAAAATTATAAACTGTATGTATTTTAAATATTTTCAAACATATTAAGCAAATAAAAATGATTAAAACTTTTTAATAGACCAAACAGTTTAAAAAAATCTAATATATTCTAGAAAACGAAGAAAATACTCCGTACAAAACAAAAAATATAAATTTAAGAAAAATATAAATAAAGCAAAAAAAAAACTATAAATTTTCAAAAAGATACAAAAATTTTAAAAGTTTAAGCTAATGTTGAATAAAATGTATATTTTCTATATAAAAAAAAGTGAAAGTTAAGATAAAAGAAATACTAAAAATATTTAAAATCTGAAAAATATCAAAGAATATGAATTGTGTGATTTGAAAACGTTCTAAAAGGCTCTCAAGTAAATCTATGAGATTTTATTACATCAAAAAAAATCAAAATAATGTTTTAAAAGAAATTATTAGAATAAAAAACAGTAAATTAAAGGCAATTAACAAGTGTATAAATGTTAATATGATAAAAAAAAGTGTATAAATGTTAATATATTAAAATAGAAATGTGAACAAATGCAATTAAAAAGGTGAAAAAACAGAATAACGAAAATGAATTTATCATTTGAAAAAGTTATAATTATGAAATACTCATACATTTTAGTTATTATTATTTTCTTACTTTTGTTGCATATTGTTTCTTTGTGTTTCTTTGTGAAAATTTTAATTTTTGAGCATACAAAAATTTAAAAATGAAAAATCAATAATATAGATTTGTAATTTAATATGTTTAAAAATAGCAAAATTTTGTAATTATTATGATCAACTACTTGTTAGTTTTTGTAGCATATTGTTTCATTGTGTTTCTTTTTGTTGATAGATTTATTTATTTTTGTTTTTCCATGTTTTTTTTGTTATTGCTAATATACAAAAACCCAAATTTATCATTTTAAATGTATGTGTATACTTGTATATGCGTTATTTCCCCGAAGAAGTAGGGAAGATAAATAGAAACAAAAAAGAACAATAAAAATAGAAATCAACAGAAACAATAATACGGAGTAGGGGTGGACTCGGGCCGGGCGGCCCGACCCGGAACCGGCCCGGCCCGGTTACTGTTTGGCCCGGCCCGGCCCAGCCCGGGGCCCGGTGGGTCCACTGGTTCGGTTCGGCCCGGCCCGGCTGCTGGGCGGTTCGGGCTCGGGCCCAGTTTTTGGTGAACCGGCCCGGCCGGTTCGGGCCCGGTTCGGGCCGGTTTTTAATTGTTTTTTTTTTGAATTTTTTTTAAGTTTTGTGTTGGATTAGGTATTTTGGGCCATTTGAGGTGGTTTGGGGTGGTTTGGGGTTAAGGGGGAGGGGTTGGGGGTTAAATAGAAGAGCCAAAAAAAAAAAAAAAATAGAACCGGTTAGGCCCGGCCGGGCCCGGCCCGGTTTGGCCCGGAACCGGAACCGCCCACCGGCAGTTCGGGCTCGGGCCCAACTTTCCTGGCCCGAGGCCCGGCCGGCCCCGAACCGGCCCGAGTCCACCCATAATACGGAGTAAGAAACAGCAATAAGCAACACGATATACAATAATAAGCAACAACAAGCAACAATATGCAACAAACAACAACATATGTAATACTCCCTCCGGTTTTTAATAAACTTCACACTTTCCTTTTTGGGACGGTCTAAAATAAACTTCACACTTCTTTATTTCCTTTTTTGGCAAAGTAATCTACATCAAAACAGTGTCAAACAGTGTCAAACAGTGTCTCAATAGTGCCAAACAGTGTCTCTACAGTGCCAAACAGTGTCAAACAGTGCCTCAACAGTGTACTCTACAGTAAAGTCAAATTTCTTTCCTTATTTTGTGTGAAGTCAAACTGTGAAGATTAAAAAAAACCAGAGGTAGTATAACAAAAACCAACCCGATGAAACAAAACGCGGAACGCAATAAACAATAAAAATAGAAATCAACAGAAATAACAATAGCAACACGATATACGACTATAAGCAACAACAAGCAACAATATGCAACAAACGACAACATATGTAATATAACAAAAACCAACCTGATGAAACAAAACGCAATATATAGTGCAACAAAAAGAAACAAAAAGAAACACATGATGACTTGATTAGGTTTTAAACCATTAAACATTACACTTCTGAATTACATAGAGACACATTATAGCTGGACTATAGCATAGCTTCGTCCAGCATAGCTGGACTTCAAGAGAAAAACAAAGCAGCAAA